CTGCCAGAACAGGAAGTGAAATGAAAAGAAGAACAATGCTTCTACTTCTTCCTTCCCTTCACTTTCCAATCCCCTCTAGGAAAGCAAAGACCTGCTAATATAGCAGTGTGGGAAATACAGCCCACAGACATCTTTCCAAAACAGAGAAAGCAGAACAGAGGAAGACCAAGGATGCATTTGATAGCAAATAGGCTATTGATGTGCACAATATAGAGAGAAATGAGTAATTTTCTTTTCAATTGGTTCAACGAAAAGGTAATGATATCTATTGTGTATTATAAACTCTACTCCTGTTAGGAATACTAAGGTAAATATGATAATCTCTAAGTTTTTATCAGTAGAATATTTCAAAAACCCTGAAAAAACCATGACATTAATTAAGAAATACACTAAAGAGATGAACTAAGTTATGAGACTTGGAATTGAGAACTATCTGGGACCTGCTGACCCAGCCAAGAATAGGTCTACTTGGGGTTCTGACCTAAACATGAATGGTAGCATAAATATGAACAATTAGAACAGCTGCTTAAATTTTCGTTGGTTTCTACCTTTGACCCTCTCCAAAGATTAGGATTAATGAGAATTTAGACCAGAGGTCAGCATGTCTCAGTGAGTAGCCTCTGGCTTTAGAGGCAAACAGACCTCAATGAGAACCCCGGGTTTGTTACTTACAAGTTGTATAACCTTGGGTAGGTCACTTATCTTTACTTTTCCTATCTTTTGAAGAGGAATAAGAGTAACTCCTTCAAAAAACTATTGTAAAGATAATATGTGAAAAAGGAACCCTCTTAACTGTTGGTGGGAATGTAAACTAGTACAACCACTCTGGAAAAAAATTTGGAGGCTTCTTAAAAATCTAAACATTGATCTACCATATGATCCAGCAATACCACTCTTGGGGATATAACCAAAAGACTGTGACACAGGTTACTCCAGAGGCATCTGCACACCCATGTTCATTGCAGCACTATTCACAATAGCCAAGTTATGGAAACAGCCAAGATGCCCCACCACTGACGAATGGATTAAAATGTGGTATTTATACATAATGGAATTTTATGCAGCATGAAGAAGAACAAAATGTTATCATTCGCTGGTAAATGGATGGAACTGGAGAACACCATTCTGAGTGAGGTTAGCCTGGCCCAAAAGACCAAAAATCATATGTTCTCCCTCATATGCAGACATTAGATCAAGGGCAAACATAACAAGGAGATTGGACTTTGATCACATGATAAAGCAAGAGCACACAAGGGAGGTGTGAGGATAGGTAAGACACCTAAAAAACTAGATAGCATTTGTTGCCCTCAATGCAGAGAAACTAAAGCAGATACTTTAAAGCAACTGAGGCCAATAGGAGAAGGGGACCAGGAACTAGAGAAAAGGTTAGTTCGAGAAGAATTAACTTGGAAGGTAACACACATGTACAGGAAAGCAATGCGAGTCAACTCCCTGTATAGCTATCCTTATCTCAACTAGCAAAAACCCTTGGTCCTTCCTATTACTACTTATACTCTTTCTTCAACAAAATTAGAGATAAGGGCAAGATAGCTTCTGCCGGGTAGCGAGGGGTAAGGAGGGGTAAGGGAGGGAGCGGGGTAGGGGGTAAGAGAGGGTATGGGGGAAAGGGGGGAGAAATGACCCAAACATTGTATGCACATATGAATTAAAAAAAGATATGTGAACACATATTTAGCATGTTTAAACATTTAAGTGCTTAGGACATGGTAGGTACTCAATATAAAGAAATAATTTTTAAGTGCATACTTCAGGAGCTAATACAACTGCATATATATGAGTCATTAAAATAAGTAAGTTCATATACATTTACACAAATACACTTTGTGAATATATGTTATGTAACATGAAGAGTTTATTTCATAATATAAGATATTCCCAAAAGTTACACCAATGTTAGCATTCCTTTAGAAATATTTCCACAAACACTCAGCAACAGCCTCATCCTTACTCTCAAATAATAACCTTACTTCCTAATTTCCTGGGAAAATGAAATTAATTCAGAGACCAGTTTGTAGAGTCTCTCGCCACACCTTCCCACCCACCAGCACCTGCACCCACAACTCTGTCTACTCACCACCATCTGCACCCACCTCACCCACCTATTCATCACAGCTCATCTGTCCACTTATCACTATATGCACCCACCTCACCAGCCCACCCACCAACATCTGCACCCACCTTACCTCCTTGCTCACCACCATCAGTACCCATCTCTCCTCTCTGCCCACTATCAAGCTCTTCCTTACCGCCTGATACTGGGATAAGTTCTCCAGGCTTCAACCTAAAGCTAGTCCCTTCACTCTTGCTCTAAAACCCATGTATTACCTCTTCAGGAGCACTCCAGAAATTCTCCCACATTGTCATTTTTCACTCTTTTCAACCATTCCTATCACCTTGCAAATCTACATTTACTTTTCCCACCTTAAAATAAAAATCATAAGAAAATTAGTTTACCCTAATTCTACATTACCTAATCACTCATTTCTTTACTGATCACTGTAACAAAATTCCTGAAAGAAATTGTCTACATTCACTATGAGTCATCTCTCAATCACTTAAACAAATGCTATTCAGCTAGGTTTGTTCTCATCAGTCCAAATGAAAGTCTTTAACCAAGGACACTAGTGATCCTTACATTGCCACATGCATTGTCCAATTCTTAGTTCTTACCTTATTTAACCTGCCAACAGCATTTGGCACCATTGTCACTTGGCTCCTCTTTGGTACATACTCTTTATTCAGAAACAACAGCAACAAAAACCTTCATTATGTCCTTGACTTCTTAGTTGGAATACAATCAGGCTCAACTCTATAACCTTCTTTTTTCTATCTACACTCACTCGCTTGGTAAACTCTTCCAGGCACATGCCTGTCATCAACTCACAAATTTATACCTTCAATCTCCTAAAATACAGATTCAGGAATCTTCATGAATGTATTATAGACACCTCAAGCTCAACATGTCCACAGTGAGGATCATATATTTTCCCCAAATTTACTAAATCTTCAGCCATCCCATTTCAGTTAATAACAACTTTATCCTTCCAGTTACTCAGACCAGAATCCGTACAGTCATTCTTGACTCTTTACTCTCTCACACTCAACTTTAACCACCAGAAATTTTATTGGTTCTGTTCTTAAAATATTCAGAGCCATATCATCTCTCATAATCTCTATTGTTACCAGACTGGTCTGAAAAAACATCATTTCTCACTTGGCTTGTTGTAATAGCATCCTAATAGGATCTTTGTGTTTTACCTTTGTTCCCTAAGGGAACAGTAATCAGAAGGAAGTTTTTAGACCTAGGTCATATTATATCACTCTGCTTCTCAAAATTCTACAATGAGTCCCATCACACATAGAGTGAAAACCAAGATCCTTACATTAGCTTAAAAGGTCCTACATAATTTTATTTGTTACACCTCTGAAATCACATTCTAGTATTTTCACTATTGGCCTTTACTCCAGTCACATTACTTAACAAGTAAATATGTGTTTAACAATCAACCCTGTTCTCTAAGGAGTTCATAATATATGGAGAAAATGTGCATAAATGATTACAAACAGAAAGTTCAAATTGAAGCTCTTCTTTACCACCTATCCTAAACTCTAGGAGGTGAAATACCCCTCAGTGGTAAAGGTTGAGGAGTTTTCCAGGGGCGGGGATGGTTTGGGGGAGATAGGAAGAAAGCAAGGACATTTCAGGAGAAAGAACATTACATGCATAGATCTCTACTCAGTAGATATTTAGGGAATTACAAGTAAAATAGAAAAATGTTTTCTAAAGCATTGAAAAATAAGGATTAAGAATAGGAGACCTGAATGTGGGAAGTAAAGAAAGATACAGTTCACAATTTATATAGAAATCAGATCATGAAATGTTTCCTATTTGTTTTTTCTTCTCTCACAGCCTTCAATCTGCTCTCAAAACAATTTATTAATCTTTTTGATGAACCTCCTCAACAGGGTCAAAGCAAAAAGGATTCTGAGTTTCACAAGTCAAAGATAAAAAATAAAAACCCAGAGTCACATTTAATTTGACAAGGTAAAGGAGTGGGTGTGCTGCAATATCAAATTTAATTTGTACAATATCATCATCTCTGATAACATTGTTTTTTTCTTTTCTACTACATTTAGACTATTTTAGTAAAGCTTGATCTCCCTGTCTACCTAAACACTGATTCACTTACAGCAAGCTTCATGTTAGCACTGGCCATATTAATACCCAATAAATCCAGAGGGTATTAGTTGCACATATTTTTGTATAAAAAGTGAACTGAGACTTGACTCAATCTACTGTTTTCCCCAGACAAGACAGCTGGTCACAGGTGAGTCCCAGAACTTACTGCAAAATGGAGAACTTACTTGTGGAATTGCTTATTTCTCAGAAGCTGGAAAGCAAATTAGAGCTTTCTGCAAGTGCTGTATAGGAAACCTATGCTTTTCAACTTGGCTTCTTTAATACGGTTAATATGCTATTATCATTATTATTAAGCAGTTGACCTGATAGACCAGTTTTCCTGGCTTCTGAAATAGATTTAATTTTAGCAAATGTGGGCAAACACAAGTAACTATATCTAAGAGGTGATAAAAACAAAGAAATAATTTTGTTGTATATTTTCCTTTGCTTTTAAAACCAAACTAATCTTTTAAAATGTTAGTGAATGGGTAACTATAACAATCACAATTACTTGCTTCAGAGTAATCACTTTAAAATAGTCAACAATAATACTCTACTTTTTAAGTCTGCTCTGCTTAAATAAATCATTATATTGCAGCTTTGAGCATAATGTGGTTTCCACTTTCACAAAAGAAAAAAATGATGGAGGAGGAATATTGTTCTATGGAAAAAAGTAAAGAAAAAGGAAGGAAAAATGTTTGCTGAAGCAAAATATGATTGGGAGGACAGGTGGACTAGTTACTTTTGGTTTGGTCAGCACCCATATGATTATAATTATTTGATTTCTCTGCTGATAATAGGACTTAATTGTTTGCTTCTCAGCCCAGGATGAAGTCAGTTCTGTTTTGCTCCCTTTTGTGTTGCTGGAGAGCAATCTGCTGTAGTGGCTGTGAGCTGATCAACATCACCATCGCAGTGGAGAAAGAGGAGTGTCGTTTCTGCATAAGCATCAACACCACTTGGTGTGCGGGCTACTGTTTCACCAGGGTAGGTCCTATGCTTTTCTGGAAGTGAGGGCTTTGAGGGGCCATCTGAGACAACCTCCAATGAGTCACCCTTTATTAATGCTTTATATATCCTAATGAACAGCCATCAGTCCTTAGTCAATAGTATCTATGTTGTGATTGGAGTTAATGAGCATGATGTCAGTTTGGGGCTTGAATTGGATTTAGGTGAATTTAGAAAAGGTTTAAAATCTATCTGATAATTTGGTATGTTACTAACTCTGCACTTCCAAAGAATTAATAAACAAAGTATCTCTATTCTAGATTTTACATGTAGAGAAATAAACATGGAAACATACATATTAAAATATGTATCAAAAAAACCTACGATTGTCCCCAAAAGGCAATTTCTGTAATTAAGGTCTTAGCTTAACCATAGAGATATTACTGAAACATGTTTCCAAGACACATAAAGACACAAAAGACCACATTATAAAAGTTCTTTTTAGACTTGCTTGGTTACAAAAGTCAATGAGCCACCTGAGAGCATAATCAATACTTGAAGACTATTGGAAGCAAACCACACCCTTCTTTATATTTTTGAGAAAACCAAAACAGAGAGACATTAAGTTACTAGCCTGAACTCGTGTACCTTCCTTGCATTAATCCAACTTAGGAAGCAATTTCCACTTGTTTTCTTTTCTTTTCCCCATAGCACCTGGCTATCTGCAGATTTTCATTCTATAAACTGAAATTGAAAATAGCAATTTTTCAATGAAATATACTTTATTCAATGGTAAATGAGTTTGATCAAACTCCACTTACTACACAAGTTATTGTATCTCTTGGGGATATATATTTGTTAGCATGATACTGAAATGAGTTAAGCAACAGCCCTAATTTCTCCCTGCTGTGCAAATATATTTTACACTAAAAAGTGATAGAACAAACATTGTTTGTCTGGATTAAAAAACATATGCAAACTATATATTCTTTGAAACTAAGTGCAAAGTATGCAACCTTTAAGAGGGGAAATGTCTATGAGCAGTAGAGTATTTAACATCTTTGAGAGCCTTTATAAACATGTTAAGATAAAAATTAGCATGCACATTATATCTTTCTGAGTTTTTAATAAATACATCTGGGTAACATATTTGGAAATATTTTTCTGAGAAATTAAACTGCAGTGTTTACAGTTTTAAGCTGCCATTAATATAGCTTCCAATTAAGTAAAAAAGTCAACTTAAGATTCTACATCATATTTCTCTTTACATCATATTTTCCATATTGAAATTCAAAGTCTTTACATTTTAAGTAGTAGTTAATATTTTGATATGGCTATGGGGATTATGAGAGAAGTGATATTTTCTCTAAGATTTCTAAAACAATCTGGAAATGTGGTACAGTACCTAAGTCATTTATGAGTTCATATATATAAATGGATAAATAAATGAGAGTGTGAAGTATTAAGTCCGTATGTCATTTTGACTAATCTGAATAGAAACTTTCAAAATGTTGTGACCTAACTCTCTCCTTCCTGAACTCCTCAGGATCTGGTGTATAAGGACCCAGCCAGGCCCAACACCCAGAAGACATGCACCTTCAAGGAGCTGGTGTACGAGACTGTGAGACTGCCCGGCTGTGCTCACCATGCAGACTCCCTGTACACATACCCAGTGGCCACCGAATGTCACTGTGGCAAGTGTGATAGTTACAGCACTGACTGTACTGTGCGAGGCCTGGGGCCCAGCTACTGCTCCTTCACCGAAATGAAAGAATGAAGAGCAATGATCATTTCAGTACACCACCCTTGTCCTGAAGACCAAGGCATGCAAAATGTCTGGGTGTCTGCATTGTGTCCAGGCTGCAGACCACAGGGCCAGGGGATCATCAGGCCTCACTGATCTCTGCTATACTGGCAGAAGGGGAAGGGGAGATCCAGGACTGAGGGTGCTGGACCCAGGACCCTGTCACCACTCAGACCTGCATCCTTAGGTTTGGTTCCAGAAGTTTAACTAATCTTAACTCACAGATTTCTGGGACTTTTCCTCTTCAATAATCTTAGGAATCCTCTCAGGCAATTCATTCCTTTTAGAGAGAGGACTAATGCAGAAGTCCAAAGGGAAGAAATAATGATAGGAGTGGATGAAAGAACTATATATAGTATGGTCTTTTTATAGATGTTGGGCCCTCAAGAGCAAAGTCAGCATCTTCTTCATGAATGTAGTCTCAATGCCTAATTCTCCCCCTCAAACTTAGTGAGAAACCCAATAATAGTTTCCTTAAGGAAATAAAATCAGACAGGTGAAAGGTAAGAAGATGCTGAAAGAAGCTGTTTGAGGCTGACTGATGAAGCTGCCCACAGCAATGACTATCCAAAGAAGTGGTAATGTGAGTTCCAACTTGACTCTTCTTGAGCACATGGAGTTTTGAGACAGGCTAGATCCCTCTGAGTTGCTTGATGACAGTAACAGAGCTTGGGATTTCCAAGCTGTTAATACCAAGCTCTTTAGTGAAGGGAAAAAGCAAGAAATGTTAGTTTGAAACTGTAGAAATTAGTCCACATTTACTCATTAGTTTAAAAAATTGGTCAAATGCTGCTAAAATCCTGCAGCATTTGGAGTAAAGAAACACCTTTTTGGGATAAAGAAAAAAAAAAACTATCATGCTGCCTTCTCTAGGAACACTGTGTTTATAGGGAGGAAGGATTTGGAATTAGCTGTGAAAGCAATTTCAGCAATTTAATAAGTATATTTAACTTACCTAAAAATACATTTGTATAAAGAAATGGCTCTTTTTGAAAGAACTAAACACAACGGAGAAAAAAAACAACTGTTTTCTATGATCCTCTCTCTATTAAGTCTTCTCTTTTGGGTCTCCCAAATCTATGATTTCTTTCAAAAGGATATGTATTCAAACATTTCATAAACTGATTTTTTTTAAATGTTAATTCTCTTAGTTATGTGCACTTATTTCACATTTACGATGTTCAAATTTATTTGTCTTTTTTTAATAAAAATAATAGCTACAAGAGTTACTGATTTGGATTGTTTCATGTACAGACTGATAACTTACATGTATATATGTTTATAACATTCATAGAAAAACATATTTGAGTATAATTCCTAGTCCTTCTACAAATATTACCCATCTTTATCTTTGGAAATATTAAAAATAATATTTTTGCATTTTTAAAAGTATTTTGTCATTTAAACTTCCTTACATTTTTTGATGTAGTTGGGAAAAGCATAGAGAGAATCACAGAGTGGGCAGAAACATTGGAGTTTCTCTAGTTTATTTCTTAAATTTTTGAGATAGAAGAATTAAGGCTCAATGATGTTAAATGACCCAGACAAGATCATTCTTAGTACATTTGGGATGTTTTAACAGACTTTCTTAGATTGGGTAAGGTATAAACAATAGAAATTTACTGCTCATAGTCCTACATAGTGGGAAGTCCAAGATTAAGGCACCAGCAGATCTGATGTCTGGTGAGGGCCTAGTCTGCTCCAAAGAGTGTGACTTCTTGCTCCATACTCACATGATGGAAACAGAAGGGGGGCTCCCTCAAGCATCTTTGATAAGAACACCAATCCAATTCAGAAGGGCCCTTCTGTTATGACCCAATTATCCCCTGAAGTCTCCACCCCTTAATACCACCACAGTGAGGATTAGATTTCAACATATGAATTTTGAATGTACATAAACATGTATACTAAAGCAATCACAAATCTTGTTCACTGCAAAACCAGGATTTGAACACTGGCCTGATAAATCCTAATCTGTCTCTCCTTTGACTATTCTGTCATACTCAATCATTTTGGTAAGACTTGAAACAAAACTATATATATTGATAACCACATATGTTCATTCAAATCTGTGTGGCTTATAGCTATATTGCCTATAATATCTTGACACACAAAAATTAGGGCTATCTTTGCAAAGTTTGATATGATGCTTTAAATTATCACATAGCCATTTCCTTCTCTCTATAATTTTGGAAATCAAAATAATAAACTTTCCTATTAGAAACAGTACAGGGCAATGGCTCCAGAGTTAGGTTTTCTTGAAAAAGCTATTCAAATTCTCTGGATGTCAGTTTCCTCAACTGTAAGGTGGAAGTCATGCTGTTTCCTACTTGAGAGGGATGACTAAATGGTAGAATACATGTAAAGGACTTAAAAAAGAACTTTGCACTGTTAATCAGTTTAGATTCAAAAATAGTAAAAGTGCTTTATTTGCGGGCCTTAGAAATGGCAATTCAGCAGAGGTCTGAATCAGTGTTCTCAAAGGTGATAGGGAAAGTATGGATTTATGTTGGAAAAAAATTATTAAATTATTACAATCATATGTAATCCAATAGAAATGTCCATAAAACAAAAATCTGGTAACTTCCTGATGCTTATCTAGAGTCTCTGGGCACAAGGTAACTATCTGGTCATTCTAGAAATTTACAGGCAAAGGGTGGAAATGACAAAAGTTCACATTCTTATTTAGGAATCAGTTTAAAACTGCATAAGCCCAATGGCCTCCTCACTTTATTCAGAAAAACTCTTTCAAGTTGCTTTTATAATGAGTGTCCTTTTATTTTTGTAGCCCATGGCAATTTCTCAATAAATCTGAGCAATTATCCATTGAGGGAGACAAGGTGGCAAGATGGTAGGCTCAAGTTAAGAACAACCTATCTCAGACTTTTTCTGTTAATCATGGACAAGCTAGTTAACTATTCTGGGACCCCCTTTTCTCACTTTTAAAATGAAATGAAAATGGTAATTGTTCTACAGGGTTGTTGTAAAATTTTAAAAGATAGTACTTGTAAAGTACTTAGGATCCCAACAGAGCTATTATCCTGATAGAGACAGACTGCTTTACAACTTAGAAAAAAGGTCAAAGTCAAAATGGTAGGAAGAAGTAAAAGTTTCTGCCTGAGGAGCCCCAGCCAAATTGAAGTTCCATCCTTTCTGAAGCAGCAAAAATGAAAACCTGTGAGCTCTCCAGGTCTATGCCAATAAAAGGTGAAATCCCAATGGAAACAATTTTAGTTGAAATCTATATTATTTCTTCTCATGAGAATCTCTTCTGGCTCAGGGTAGTCCTCACATTGCTGCAAAAAATTAAATTTAACCAGAGCTTTGAGCATCACTGTTAACAAATAGATTCCATCACTGTTTTCAGGATAAAATCCTAATCCTGTGATGACACATGAGGCCTGTCATGGTCTGAGCTCTGATTACCTCTCTAGCTTCTTATCTTTCTCTTCTTCTAACCCCAGAGTCCATTGAATGTGGAGACTGGTTATAAGATTTAAGGGAGGATTTTGTGTGTTCCATTCCTAGAATGCTTTAATCAGAATACCACGTCTTTCATCCTACAAGAGATTTGACTATGATTAGAAACTGGGTTAATCAATCAGCAGTAGTTGAATTCTTTAAAGTGAGGCCAGTACATAAGAGTAACAAACACTGAGTTTACGATAATGAAAAGAGAGAAACAGGAATATAATTGAGGAAATACACTGAGGGAGACTCAAACTATATCTGCAGTGTTTCATTTCTTAACATAAATCTGAGTTACAAATATTAAATATTGTTAAAATATATAAAACTGGAAGAAGGCTATGCAGGAGTTAATTATATTCTTGTAGGCATGTGAAATGCTTGCTTGTTAACAACTGAAAGGCATCCTTATACACAACCTGCTTTTATGTCTATTATCAGAAAAGTTTGAGACTAGTCTAAAGTGACACAGTGTGCAGAGTCACAGTCATTGATAGGCATTTAGTGATTGAGACAATGATTTCAGTCCTCTTACCAAGCTATGTGCCTACTTTCTGGTTATAAACCTGGACTACATTTCCCAGAGATCCTTGCAATCAAGTGTATCTGTGTTCTTGTCAAAGGAATTTGAGCAGAAGTACTATAAGAAATTTTCACACTTGGCCCATAAAACCCTTCCATAAGTAAATATGTACTCTCTCCTTTTATCAGCAGGATGTCAACATCCAGGATGATCTTGAAAGTTTTGTGGTGATGATAACAAAACCACTATCATCCCTGAATGTCTATCTGGAGCAGAGAGCAGGTACAGAGCCTCAGTACCAATAATCACTTATAGCAGACTGGAATGTACTTTATACAACAGCAAAGTAAACTTCTAGTGAATTGAGTCACTAATATTGGTGATTTTGTTAGATAACTTATCTTTTTAGTTCATAGGTTACCAGACCATGAGAAACTACATCCAAACATTATGGAGAAAACTGAGGGTCATCAGGAGATCAAGGGGCTGGCACTGACTTCAGGGAAGGGAAGAATTGGTTCTGCATGAGGGAGAAAGATGAAACTTATTTGTCCTCAGTCGTTTGGACTGGGACTAAGATTATTATGTGTTCACCAAAGCCCTTTTTCTGTTTTTCCTGGGGCATAGATAATCTATACTTCCCGGCCTGACTTGTGGAAAGGTTTGATAATGACACTGAATTCTATCAATGGAAGGTTATCAGGAATTATGTGTGCTACCCTTAGGTTGGGCTCATAAAACTCTCCCACGGGTGAATCATACTTTTTTCCCTGCCCAGCCAATTCAGGATCTCTGCTTAAAGCAACCTTGGAAGCCATGTGTAGCAGATGATTCCTGAATGACCAAAGAACACACACACGCACCTGTTCCCTCTGATAGGATTTAAGCAAGACATAAACTTATCTTTTGCTAAGTCACTGACTCACTGGGGATTTTTTATAGCTGATAATTCTACCTTAACTAATGCAAGGATCCACAGTATTCAATGAAATTAAATGTAATGTTTCAGACCAATCCACATGGACAAAGTAAAAAAATAGGTATTTAATAACATTAACATATCTA